ATTTTAATCTTTCCCTGGCATGCTAGTTTTCAACATGAGAAGATTCTGTCTTGTCTCTTCCCATGGAACAGCAAGTCCGTCATTTAAGTTCCCATCTGCCACTCCAGTAGTAATCACACATATTTTTCTAAGCGTCCTTATTCACACTTGGTATAAAAGATTTCCTCTTCTCAGCTCACTTCCTATTTCCCACAGTTATGGCAATTCCAAATAAAGGCTCTCTGAGGCCTCTAATCTTACAAATTAGGCAAAGTACTAACACTCAGAGCATTAGCAAAAATGTTGCACTTAGGAAAGAAGGAGGGGGGAATCTGCAATTGAAAAGGCCTGAAGGAATACCGTACAATTAAATCAAAAGAGATAAAAATCCAGGGCTGGCCGGTCTCTTCCAAAGCTGTTGCTCATCAGAAATACCTTTGGTTTAGGCCTATATGCATTTGAATGCAAAATGGACGTATGCCAAGAACTGCTTCATTGACCTCTGAAGCTAAAAGAAACCTCTTGGCTAATTGCTTGTTCAAGCTGTGGTACAGCAGTAGGACAATCTATTAAGTAGCTGAATTAAGTAAGGCCTTTTGGAGGGAAGAATGAGGAGGGTGGGAGGAAGGAAGGGGGAAAAAAAGACCTATTAATGTAATATTTGCTCTCATCACCATTATTAGTAAGCAACACAGACAAAAGCTTGCCTGGCTGGTGTTGGATATGACTTCCGGTTTGTGTGTTTTGTAATGCTTGCCTCAAAAAAGGACGTGAGGGTTAGCAGCTCTCCACCCTCCTAAAATTTCTGGTCTTCTTGGACTACTGTTTAAGATGCAGCTGAAATCTGAGCCTACCTCTCCTCTATAAGAGAGAGAGATGAGTGAAGACTCTGGTTTAGATTTAGTATTTGTTAAAATCTGCAAATTTAATAGAGCTGGAGATGAAACACCCATCCATACCTCCACTCCAGCCAATCTGAAAGGACAATAACTCAATCTAGCCATTATCACAATTGTCATCAACATGAGATATAGACAATGCAAGCATGCAGGGCATCCTCTGTGTGAGCAGTCATGCATCTGAAGAAGAGCCCCATTGATTTGCAGGTTCTACATGTGAGCAAGAGTCTTTCCTAGATTTTTTTTTTTTAGGTGAGCAAAAAATCTCTTAGGTTCTACACATGAGCAAGAGAATGTGATGATGGATGCCAGCCCAAAGTGACGACACTAGGCAAGAAGGATGCAGGATTGACTCAGTATAAGGCAGATTTTCTATCGGTTGTTGTGGGTTTTTTGGGCTCTTTGACCGTGTTCTGAAGGTTGTTTTTCCTAACGTTTCGCCAGTCTCTGTGGCCGGCATCTTCAGAGGACAGCACTCTGTGCTCCTGGCATCTTCAGAGGACAGCACAGTGCTGTCCTCTGAAGATGCCGGCCACAGAGATTGGTGAAACGTTAGGAAGAAGAACCTTCAGAATACGGCCAAAGAGCCCGAAAAACCCACAACAACCATTCGATCCCGGCCGTGAAAGCCTTCGCGAATACAGATTTTCTATGTTCCTAATCCCTAGAAGGAGTCCAGGTTCATTAATGTCTTGCTAAGCACAGTCTAGCATGACATCTAATGTGTACGGAAGCTCTGAGTTACACAGTTTACTGTGACAACCCCTTATGTACTCAAGCTTTAAGCTACATTCAGGCAGAAGAAGAGATGAAGCTGTCCCATTTTTAGCACTTCTTGAAGAAGAAAAAGAAAAGGTACAAGGAAATTTATCCTGAGGCAATTAAAATAATGGCACAGAAAAAATCCAGGCTTCTGTAAATTACTGAATCGCCTTGAGCAGTGAGTGATGATTCATTGAGGGAACCCCCCTCCCCTACAAAAACCCCTTGTTGGCCTGGTCCTCCTGCCTCAGTCTTTGCTGAAGTTAATCAATCTGACAAGCACCTTCATACCCCGTACTCAGATAATAAATCAAGTAAATCAACATTCTCCCTGCTGCCGCCACTGTCCTGCTTCAAGTCCTAGGGAAGCCGCATTAAGATGGATCTTTGTTGGCGTGAAAACATTGGTGGTGGCCGCCTGTCTACAAAGGGAGCGTGATGGCCAAAGACAGGTGATTAACACAAATAAATATAATCTTTCAAAGACCTCGCTTTGGGAGTCAAGTCAGATCAATTTTTTAAAAAACAATTCTGCATCTTTCTCACCCCAAACCTCCCCCCCTCCAGATGTCTCCTTGAATTTATGAAGGAGGTCTTAGTTCCGTCTAAGGTCTCGTAAGTTGTTTTGGTTCGCTGCCATCAAAGCTAACACATGAGTAACACAACCCCGTGTGAATTTTAAACCGTAGTTATTTGATTCCCTTTACTACCGTAGTAATGTGCAGTGTGGAGAGGCTGGGAAAAAGGAAAGGAAGTCATAAGGGTTTTTACGAAGGGATTGGGGGGGCGGGGACAGACACCATATAATAGGCAGGCAGCAGCGGTGTTGTTACTGAAGAAACTAAAAGCCGTTCCTCAGATTCACGCCGCTGGTCACATTACCAAACCAAAACATCTCTGGCACTTTTACAACGGCCCACTTTTACCACTTCCAACTGCACAGCGAGCACACCGCCCGAGCAAAACATAAATAGTGTAAAGGGCAAGCAGGTGGTATGGAATATATTGAAATGGGATTGTGTTCCATGGCTTAGAGCTCAGCTTTTACACAGACAACCTTAGCTGTTCTGCCACAAGAGAGGAATTTGAGCCGTTTAGAGAAAGAAAATTGACATAGTGGATAATTTCTTACGCTACCCACTTTTCTTTCTCTCTCTCCGCTCTGTGTGTATGGGTGTGTATAGCAAGTGTCATTAGAACTACAGGTGTTTTTGTGTATAGAAGGCAAAGGGCTACATGCTGGGATGGGGAAATAGATGTTTAAGGACTGTCTGGAGATTGTTACTGATACTTCTCCATAGCAAAGTTTCGTTCTAACATATGGCCATATGGCAAAAAAAAGGGAAAAGAACATAAGAACATTAAAAGGAACACAAAAGGATTGTGTTTCCACAGAAATATATTCTTAAAAAAACAACAAACACAGGGAACAAATAGGATTAAAATATAGATTTTGCTTTCTTAATTTCCACATGCTTCTCGATGTCACTTTTCAGTTGTCGCTTTTAGACTTGGTGGTCATGGGTGCAAGTGTGGGCAGATGGAGAACAGAGTGCTTAACCTTTCTCCCTATGATCATCTTCCACCTATATCTGTGGGTTCTCCATAGCCAGCAATCCTGGACATGTTTTTTCCAGGACAAGGGTGTTGGCAGAAGAACTGGTTAGGGAAGGAACCACAAAAGAAGAAATAGGGCAAATATCATTTCCAGTTGCCACTTGTTTTCCATACCCTTACTTGCAGGAAAGAATCAGTAGCGTTAGTTCTGTGCCAATCAACACTGGCTAGACTGCTAGGCACTTTATAAATACAATAAGCAAACAAATCAAATGAATGAATGAACAACTGATGTTATCAACTCGCTGGCTGAAATCCTGTTGCTTGGCATATTAAATCATGCTAGAATAAGCCAACTGAATCAGTGGGGATTTAATGAGTCAACTCATCTGCAAGTTCCATTTATTCAACAGCTATTCTAACGACAACTTATTATGTAACTACTAAGAAAATTGCAGTTAGAGTAAGCTCATTGCATCAATGGCATTTATGGAGGAGTTGACTCACTAAAACCCCATTAATTCAATGGGTTTACTCTAGTTTCACTTTGTATACTAAGTAACAGGATTTTGATCAGTGTGAGTGATACTATAATATGCCTTTCTTTGTGGGTGTTGTAATAAAAAAACAGGATAGTGTAATGGATGGAGCATCAGAGTTGGACTCAGGAGCCTGGTTTTAAATCCCCACTCAGCTATGGAAACGTCCTAGGGCAGTGATGGTGAACCTTTTTGAGTCCGAGTGTCCAAACTGAAACACAAAATCAACTTATTTATTTCGAAGTGCCAATACTGCAATTAAAACCTTACTCTAGTTTCACTTTGTATACTAAGTAAGAGGATTTTGATCAGTGTGAGTGATACTATAATATGCCTTTCTTTGTGGGTGTTGTAGTAAAAAAACAGGATAGTGTAATGGATGGAGCATCAGAGTTGGACTCAGGAGCCTGGTTTTAAATCCCCACTCAGCTATGGAAACGTCCTAGGGCAGTGATGGTGAACCTTTTTGAGTCCGAGTGTCCAAACTGAAACACAAAATCAACTTATTTATTTCGAAGTGCCAATACTGCAATTAAAACTCGAATGCTGAGGTTTAGTTCAGAAAAAAAAAAACTGCTCCTGCACTGCAAGGGTTAAATGCTTGGTTTCCCCCCCCCTCCCAGTATTAACAAAGAAATACTTACTGGTCCTCCAATCCCCCATTGGGCTAGACCGGTAATGGCCGTCGCCATTACACCCCTCCGCTGGACCACTGCAACAGCAGAGGGGAGTGCCGAAATCCGGGATCAGAAGATGGGTAAGTATTTCTTGATGGCAACATATGGCTCACATGCCCACAGAGAAGGCTCCGTCTGCCAGCTGTGGCATGCGTGCCATAGGTTCGCCATCACCATCCTAGGGAGTGGCAATTGTAAACCACTCCTGGAATGTCTCACACACCTCAAAAAACTTATTAGAGGTTGCCTCATATTGGAAGAAAATGGAGGGTTCATAACACCAACAACGTAGTCATGGTGTACATACAGGGGCCCAGAGCCTTCCTATGACTAATGAAAAATTTCTCATATATATGTGTATCTAGGAATAGAAACAAAAGCAAAAGTATTAAGGTTTTTCCCCCCGCATGAGTCACTTCTTCAGACATAGTCCATTTATTCAGTGGACTGTGATCCAAGAAAACCTACACTGAGATAAATTGTTCATCGCAGAAGCTCTACCATATCTTTGCCTCACCTTTGCTTTTGCTGAGAGAGACTAAGATACAAGGATGCCTCTTTGAAAAATATCTATATTTTTAAGCTACCTGAGTGCTGGCCACGTTTGTTCCGTCGGTGACTTCCACAGTCATGTTGTACATCGACCTCTGCTCGGCATCCAGGGGCTTTGCGATCACAATGGTCCCCACACCTTTGTCTGCGTCGAAGGAGCTCTCGAAATTCCCCCCTAATTGTTGTTACAAGAGAAGGTACAATTAAATCTCTGGAACAGGTGTTTTTTTTTTTTTTGCCATTGTTGAAAAACAACACCTAGGAATAGAAACAAAATCAAAGGTATTAAGACTCAGAGGGTTTTTTCCGCATGAGTCACTTCTTCAGACATAGTCCATGTATTCAGTGGGCTGTGATCCAAGAAAGCCTACACTGAGATAAACTGTTCATCGTAGAAGCTCTACCATATCTTTGCTTCCCCTTTGATTTTGCTGAGAGAGACTAAGATACAAAGATGCCTCTTTGAAAAATATCTATATTTTTAAGCTACCTGAGTGCTGGCCACGTTTGTTCCATAGGTGACTTTGTACATCGACCTCTGCTCGGCATCCAGGGGCTTTGCGATCACAATGGTCCCCACACCTTTGTCTGCATCGAAGGAGCTCTCGAAATTCCCCCCTAATTGTTGTTACAACAGAAGGTACAATTAAATCTCTGGAACAGTTTTTTTTTTTTTTGCCATTGTTGAAAAACAACACCTACAGATCAGGGTATGGTAATTTACAGAGAAGCATCGCACAAAGCATGCACTGCACATTAAGCAACCTTTGTTCTACGCTAGTTGTTCCTCTTTCAAGCATCATTTGTATACTGCAGAACAGATGTCATAAAAGAAAAGTGGGGGAGGCATCAACAACCGATAACTGCAGACAAAAGATTCAGCAATGCATCCAAGGGAAGCATAATTGATTTCTTAAAAAGGCTCTACAAGGCTATTAACCTACAGAGACTTATGCCCTCGTTAGTGTGAACAAGCAATTCCCCTCTTCATTAAATATTCACTCGGGAGCAGGATTCAAGCGTTATTTGTGTGTCGCTTCTGGAGAATTCAACAGGCACTGAAAACACAGTTCATATAGTCCTGAAGGCTCTACAACCACCTTTCATTTAGCTGTCTTATGCCATTCCTTGAATGTAAAGAATATGCTCTACAAATCCACGTTGTCTACTCCGAGGATAATCTTGATGCCTACGTACAAAAGCCAGCCCCTAATAACGCTTCATCCATTTCCAGCACGACTAATGAAAAGAACAGGATGGGGATATAGAAATGAAGGGCAAAACAATGCACGCAGGGGCTGGCTTCATGCCTGGGATCGCCATGAGCCTCAAATTACTAAGAGGGTATCCTTTCAGTGTAACCTTCCATTTCCTTTCAAACAGTTGTCGATCTTCTCAAAGAAGAAAAAACGAAACATTCCACTAAAGCAGTGGTTCCCAAATTTGGGTCTCCGGTGGTTCTTGTACTAAAACTCCCAGAAGTCTTCACCACTAGCTGTGTTGGCCAGTAATTTGGGGAGATATCATCCGAGAACATCTGGAGACCCAAGGCTGGGAAATTTGGGGAGATATCATCCAAGAACATCTGGAGACCCAAGGCTGGGAACCACTGCACTAAGGGGTATTGTTTGGGGTTGGGCAGTGGCAGCTGGTTCAGATTCTTCATCAGCTGGAACATCCAGTTCTCACTTATGGTAGAGGGGAACTAACTTCAGAGAGGTGTGTAGTTTGCCGCTTCCTGACTTAATATGAGCTGCTATCCCCAAGTGCATCTGTTGTCCTTGGAGGTTGCTACACGAGGTATCCTCTGACTCCAGTTGGGTTAGGGGGACAAAGAAGAAAAGCCTGTTTTCCCTGCAGAGGTTGCCAAGTGCTTTTGAGGGCCAAACCTGCCTTCTATGGGAAAGTTACTTTTTTGGACTCTAATTCTGGGAAGCCACCAGACAGCATGTCCAGCAGGCATGGGGATTTTTGGAGAAAAGGCCTGCCCTGGAAGGCTTTGAGACCTAATCAGATCTAGGTAAAGGTAAAGGTTCCCCTTGGCAATTTGTCCAGTCGTGTTCGACTCTAGGGGGCGGTGCTCATCCCCGTTTCCAAGCCATAGAGCCAGCGTTTGTCTGAAGACAATCTTCCGTGGTCACATGGCCAGTGCGACTTAGACACGGAACGCTGTGACCTTCCCACCATCGTGGTACCTATTTATCTACTTGCATTTGCGTGCTTTCGAACCGCTAGGTTGGCGGGAGCTGGGACAAGCGATGGGCGCTCACTCCATCACGTGGATTCAAACTTACAGCTGCAGATCTATAGACCTTACAGCACAGAGGCTTCTGCGGTTTAACCTGCAGCGACACCACGCCCCTAATCAGATCTAGCTCCAGCCAAACTTCCTATTCCTGCCACAGTGTTAGTTGGGGACTTTCTTTCTGAAAAGGTGAGCCACACCCAGGTGTCTGTAAGGTGTGGGTAACTTAAGCAGAACTCCCAGAATGGGGAACGATGGCATCTGAAGACCCCCATCTCTTAAGCCCAGTGTGGGGGCTTCTGGGAGCTGTAGTGCCGAACAAGCAAGCTTCCAAGCTCTGCTTCTATCTTTGACATTGGCCTAGCTCCCAACAGCAGGGATTCCTTAATAGGGGTGCAATACATTGCTCGGTGCAGAACTCAATAATCTTACACAGCAGTTCTTGAAATTATGCCGAACCTACGTCCTCATTCAAGCACCGGCCATCATAATGATCAGAATTTTGCTAGTCAAAAATGCTGGGCAGTAGGGTTCAAATCATATGGCACTTAATCACAACTGACAGCGAATTATTTAGTATTAAGATCATTTTTATTCAAATTAACAACAATCTGGTATTTCTTTTTTACATTTTAACATCAGCTCCCTGCTGCCCTAGTTACGCTTTGCACCTTGGCTATACTAAACATTTCTACATTTCCTTTGACTCTCCCCAATTACCTTTTATTAAAAAATTCACATTTAGCATAAAGGGAAAAAAATCAGCCTTTCCTCATGGTACAGGCAGGCCATAAATAACCTGTGACTCAGTGAATTGATCATTATGTTCAGAAACATAACGGATCAAAAGAGGAATCGCTGTGGCTTTTGCTGGCCTCCTGTGCCTTGCAGTGAAATAAATCCATCGTAATTGCAGTTTAGAAAAAAAAAGCTTCCTGGTGATGGAGACCAAAGATTTTTTCCCCTCTCTCCTCCAGTTTTAACTAGAAGCAAAGTAAATTAATGGACGATACAGGCCTGATCCTGAACACTGCATTTTTACTTTTGTTTGTTCCCATGCAGAAGGGCAATACATCAGGATGCTGAAAACCCGCTGCTGAGATAGGTCACTGTATCTATGACAGAGGGGAGCAGATATTTTTTTTAGTCCATTGATTAATTTTATCTCCTCCTTCTTTCCCTCCAGCTATTCTCTTGAACTGTTTGAGCACTATGGAAAATCCTTTATTGCTTTTTAAACCTTTCTGGGGGAAGGGAGCAGAACGAAAGGGTTTCTCTTTTATTTCAACATTGCAATTGGCGGCATTTGTTCACCAGCTTTAATAACACCAAAGGATAATTGCATATTTAACATAATGTTTTTTTTTTAAGAAACCAGTCTTCTACTCTGCATACCACCTGAATGAAACACCAAATGGCTTAAATTAAACGAGAAAAAAAAAACCTGGCAGCTTCCTTACTTAGCCCAATCCCCATGGATTTTCCAGTAGGTCTCAGTTTCCAGGATTCCCCCACCCCACCCCAATCATGCAGCAGAGTTGCTTCAGTGGTCCCCAACCTTGGGCCTCCAGATGTTCTTGGACTACAACTCCCAGAAGCCTTCACCACCATTTCTGCTGGCCTATTTGGCCTACTAGTTCCCAATCTGCTCAGCTCTCAGAAATCACTAGACCATTAGTTCCCAATCTGCTCAGCTCTCAGAAATACTGGCCAGCACAGCTGGTGGTGAATGTTTCTGGGAGTTGGGGACCACTGCTCTAGACATAAACTAAACCTCCAGTCCCTGCTGGTTCCCAAAGCAGACTTGGTGCTTTGGGAGACACCTGCTCTTCTTATGCATCTCAGCTATTTATAACAAATGGGAAAGCACCATCTTCATCACAGCTTCCCTATGTATAGCGTTAAGAGAAATGGAGCACAATGCTTCCTATTCCTCTTCACATTTGGAAACTTAAGGTTTTAGACTGTTTTGATGGTTTCAAAACCATACTCCACTTTTGTGTCTCCAGGGACTGAGCAAAATTAAACTAACCATTTGTTATTCAAGTGCTTGAAAGTGTTTGCTATAGTAAACAAGACAATAATTGGGTCCAGTGGCTTCCGTATTAAGAAGTGACTTCAAAAGGAGGAAGAGAGATGGTGGTGGTAGACATAGGTTTAATCAGACCCTGACAGCCACTTCTCTGCTCAGACTGTAGCAAGGTCAAATTACAAATCGCACATGCAGTATGTTGTGAATGGGCCATTTTGTATTTCAATACAAGCCATGCCTGTATTGAGTTATATAGACCAACAGAACTCAACCTCACATCTGCAGACCACTGTCAGGATACACTGTGGCTTCAGGAAAATCTATCAGATCACCATGAAAAACATCTCTATATGATCACGAAGCTGATTCTAAGCATCAATGATGAAAGGGGCTCAGACCACTATTCCTGATGGTGGATGTGTGGTTGCAGAAATGCAAGACAGAGCACAGCAGGAGTGGCAGCATGTGTCAGCAGTGATTCTGCCCATTGCTGGCATGCAGTCGAGCCCCCACTGCCTTCAACTTGCCCCTGTGTTCATACCCTCCACTGAAGACTTGCTCCAAATGCCTCCTTTACTGGAAATGTAATAAGTACACAGAAACCTTCCACTATCCACTACTTCCTTTTTCATCAGTCTTCTTCCTCTGCACCAGGGGCTTCTTTTGCTTTCTTCTGCATTCACCAGGCCAACTAGGTTTTCTGGTCTCCTCCCTCCCAACAGTTTGTAATATCTGAGATCTGCAGAAGAACCCACTGCACAGAGTGCCCCTTGAAGAAATAAATATTCCAGTCTTGACTTCAGCTTCCTCTCTGCTTGTTAGGAACATCTCCCACCTAGAGGCTGAAGATGGTATTGCAGACTATGGACATATTTTAATCAACTGAATATAATTATGA